TTTCATGTGTCTGTTGGCCATTTGGATGTCTTCTTTGGAAAAATGTCTGTTCATGTCTTCTGCCCATTTCTTGATTGGATAATTTGTTCTTTGGGAAGAAGGGAGGGTTATTAAAAAGTTTTCTGTTTCAAGCAAAAATGAGCCCTTGCAAGGAGCTTTTTTACTTTTTCTCAAAAGAGAATGATCTTAAACAATATATGGCTAATGTCAGCCAAGTTATATTTTTGGCAGAAAAAGAAATACCGCAGTCTGTGTTTGCAGTTGTCCTTGAATGCCAGGGGAGGAGAGCTGGAGGGCAGCAAGTGAATATTCACATGCCCTTATCATTTGCACACACGGTGTAGACAACATATGAACACATGGGTCTGCAGAGGGTCTCCCACGCCAAGCCTAGAGGTTGGCTAAGAACGGTGGTGCCTGGGCCCGCACACTTGTGGGAGCCCTGTAGAGCCCAGCTCCGCTGCAGGCTGGCTGCGTGCCCCAGGGAAAGCCACTTCCCTTGGAGCCTCACTCTGCGTGTCCCGGAAGGCAAACAACAGCCCTGGGCTGGAGGCGCTGTGGCAAGGGTTGCATCAAGTCACGTGCCTAGAGCACAGGAGGTACGCAGCCATTCTGAGCGCCATTTTATTGTGGTTTTGTGACTGGGTCACAAGTCTCCTTTTGAATGTTATAAAAGCTAAGAACTCCCTAGAAAAATATGTGTCTGTTCAACACACACAAGGTTCTGAATGTAGTTTCAGATGAGGTTTGTGTTCAACTAGGAATCATAGACTATAAGGTAAGAAACCCATATTCAGATATTTTTTTAAAACGTGTGCATAGAAACAAAAGTCCTTTGCATACTCTCTAGTAGTTGACTCTCGGGAGGCAGTAGAGACCCCTCTCCTGCCCTGGTGACTTGCCAGTTCCCACCACCACTGCCGGCCCCTGTGCTCCTTCCTGAGTCAAAATGGCAGATTCCTCTCTGGCTCGGGTGAGGGCAAGCATAATGGCTAGTGGGAGCCTCCCAGGATATGTAAGTCTTGTTGGCAGGACTGAAGAACTTGGAGAGAAAAGACTGTAGACTCAGTTGATGTCGACACTTCTAGAGCAGTGAAAACCGAGCCAAAAGAATCCATCCCTCAGACGGTGTGCTGGGCTTCCAGCCATGGCTGACAGAGACAGTGGGTTCCATGACCCCCACCGAGCAGGACCCAAAGACCAGGCCCCTCATCTCTGAACAGGCAGGTGTTTAGCATGAGGGCTGAACCAGAGGGTGCCTGGGACATGCATGTGGAGGGCTGAAAAGAAGCAGATGGGAAACCAGGGCAGTGTGGAGGGAGCTAGGGGCTCTGAAGAGGCGAGAAAGCTCAGACCAAGGACTCTTGCCAGATGGGGCAGTGGGGAAGAGCACAGACTTAGGAGTTGGACCCTAGCTGGGCCTCACTTTCCTCATCCGTAAAGTGGGAATAATGATCTCCACCTAACATGGCTATTTGCAGTCTCACGGGTGGAACTTTGGGGATGCTTCTTTACCCGGAACATGAGTCCCCCTCCTCTTTACCTGAAGACCTCTCGGTCCTTCAACAATTTGCTCAGGCATCACCACCTCCAGGAAGCCTTCCAAGACCACCCCTCCCAAAGCTGAAGTGTGTTCCCATGGCTGTTGGTACCACACTATACTCCTTGTTGCCTTTCCTGAGTCTTTCTGCTGTTTCTTAGCACAGTGCCCGAAATATAGCGGGTCCTTGATATAGGCAGTCAGTGAATGACAAAATGAGTGAACAGAAACGGTCAGACAAGGGAGGAGGCAGTGAGTTTAGCAATGGTCAGCAGGAAGTTTTTTACCCCGAGAGGCTCTAATAACAGATAGCTCAAATAGCTCTGGGAAAATTATTTCAAATCAGTTCAACTATTTGTCTACATATCCTACTGGGAATCACAAGCCGGGCTAACACTTCATTTACGCTGTTAGACGAGGGGCCTCGAGCATTTTCACATCTTAGGCATCTTTTGGTCTTCAGACTCATCTGAGCATTTTTAGAGGTTTTTAGCCCATTCAACTAAGGCATTTCTGCATTATTTGACTAAAATAGTTCCAAACAGTCTAAAAAATTAGCCAACTGGGGGGACAAAAAGATGGTCAAAAATGAGAAAGAGAATGCTTGAAAGAGCCTGAGACTGGCCTGT